AAAAGACCACGACCAGGCACAGTAAAAGCTGTGAAAGGGCGCGAATTCTCAGCAACCTCTATTTGCCAATAAGCTGACTTAATGTCCAGGGAACTAAGATATTTAGCGTCACGTAATTGGTCTAAGATGGTATTGATATAGGGCAAAGGAAAAGCGTCGCGCTCAGTTAAAGAGTTAAGTTTCCTATAGTCCACACAAAATCTATAGGTTTTGTCTTTCTTGGGAATCAGACAGACAGGTGAAGCCCATCCGCTGTTCGATGGTTCGATGACTCTGTCCCTAAGCATCTCATCAATGGTGTCGTTAATGATTTTCTGTTTAATCGGATTTACTGGATAGTACCGCTGTTTAATAGGAACAGCGCCCTCTACCAGGCGTATCTCGTGTCTACCTACTGGGGTTAATCCTAACTTGTCTCCCATGAGCGAAAATTTCAGATCTAAGAGGGTTTGTAAAGAATGGTGTTGTTCATCAGTGAGACGAGACTGTTCCACTATGGCCACACTAGGTTGAGTTGGCGTGCAAGAAGTAAAATGCCAACAGTCATCGCTAATATTCGGAATGATACCCATCCTATCCCAAAAATCTACTCCCAGGATTAAATTAGTAACCAAATCAGGCATCACCAACAAATCTAACAGCACAGTACGATCCTTTAAGGTAATTGGCACAGTGATGTAACCAATCGAATGTGCATCGGAGCTATTTGCTACCGTACAAGAAATAACTTTCGGTACAAAATTGAAATTGAGTATTTGCAATTGAATTAAAGTATCGGAATTGATAAAAGAACGTGAAGCGCCAGAATCTAATAATCCCAAAAAAGGAATGTCTAAAATTTTAATTTGGACATAAGGTCTCAAGTCATTTCCCACATGCTGTAATAAAAAGTCAAGTTTAGGTTTGGAAGAAATTTTCAAAATTTTTGTCGCCTGTACTAAAGAAACGTCACGACGACTTAATGAGCGTTTCTCGGAGCGTTTCCCGAACAAAAAGAACAACTGCGCACCGTAACGCCTTGTGCGCCACATTTCCAGCAAAATAATTGCCTTGGTTCAGGACAATCAACACGATGATGACCTAATTTTTGGCAATTAAAGCAAGGAGAATTTGGAGTTTCCATTGCATAAATAGGTGGACGTGGTGACATTTGTCGACTACTGGTGGGACAGCTAAACCCAGGTTCGAGTAATGGTAATGATGTTCGGTTGCGTAAGGCATGGTGTCTGTCTAAATCATGTTTGATATCGTCAAAACGTCTGCATTCAATTAAAAGTTCATCTAATGTCTGAGGAACATTAGGACCTAATTTAGTCAAATAAAATGGTGATAAATTGCGTTTAATTAAACGGACTTGTTCATATTCTGGAGGTGGTAATTTTAGTCGTGAAAATAAACCCTGCATTACTGCAAAATAAATGTCTACTTTTTCATTCTGACCCTGTAAACGAGCTTTAATTTCGTCGAGCAAATCTTCCTCATAGTGTGGTGGTAGAAATGCATCTCGTAGTAATTGCACTAAGTGCTCCCATGAAGTAGCTTTATGAGAATTAATGTTGTACCAGGTGTTCGCAGTACCTTCAAATAAATCGTAGGCGGTCTCAAATAAAGTTGGATGATCTACTCCACGAGCACGAGCCATTCGCTCAACTCGGTCGATAAATGAATTCAAAGTTTCACCTCTACTATCCCCGGAAAATTTTAATCCCCATTTATGTACAGGAGTACTCGGTACGGATAATCTTGGTTGTAGTTCTGCAGTACGTCTAGTAGGTGTAGAAGAAACTACAGCAGTTGCTGAAGGCATAATTGAGTCGTTAAAATGAAAAGCTTTGTTATCGAGTGAAGCTCTTAATTGTCGAAATAAACCAACTAATTCCCCAAGTTTACTTAATTGTTCAGCAGAAGGCTGCAATAATGTGCGAGTCCTATGTAAACGTCTGTCGGCATGAGCTAGCATGGTAACAATTGACAAATATGAACCTCCCCCAAAAGCATCATCAAAATTGTCAATCTTATTCTGAAGGATCACTGTCAATTCAGTAAGAGCAGCTAAATCCTGAGCAAAGGTAAAAGGGTACTCTGGAGCAACATAACCAGGTGCTTTCTCTAACTCTAACAATTTTCTGAGAATTAAACGACTTTCGTTCATATTACTCCCCATTTGTCCCGCTCTAATCTCAATTTCATATTGGAGTTCAGTCTCTCTTAATCGGTTAATTTCCATAGCCATGATCACACAATAAATTCAAAATACAAATATAAAAAGATAACACAATATAGGTACCTGTTAAATACCAAGAAATACACAAATATCAGTAATAACCACAAATAAAAAAAATAAGTTGCAAGTACGAAGTTCAATTTAGAAGAGATAATTTAAAAATAAGGCCAAAAACTTAAATTTAAACAAATTATGCCCAGGCCACACGTTGAAGGGTGTCACTTTATAACGTGAGGTTAGTTCGGCGCTGTAAAACTCAAACCCCGCCGCATAAACGGCCAGCTAGCTCAGATTCTTAATTAAAAGAAGGGCTCGAGATGAGAATCTTCCACAGCGGTTTGTTCGTTTGGGCATATAACATAAGTTTTTGATCTTTGGTAGTCACTAGAAATGATTAGTTGAGCGCCACCCAATTTTGCACAAATTCTGACCTCTCCTGTATAGAAATTGGGAAAACACAAGAGAGCCAAATAATAAATTCACTACGAGCAATTCTGATTTATTAATCCTGACAAAACGGTGCAGGATCGGCAAATAAAATGTATCTTCAATACGACAATAACAAATACTTTAAATGACAAAAATAATCCCCAAATAAATTCATGAACACTTCCCTAATAATTACGTTACCAGCCCCCTACAACAATGATCGAGCAAAAATGTAGTTAAGATTTCAATGGATTCAAAGATTGAATTAAGTTAACCCGAATAACAACTCATATAGGCAACACTGGGTACAAGTAAATTAAAAATCTTACCTTGAATAACACATACGCTGTCTTCTCCGAAAAAGAGCTCTCCTTCGAAGTTCCAGTTCTGTAACACAAAAACAAACCCCAAGCTACAACGCTCGGAACGATTATATGAGCCGGAAGGGCCAAAAATAGCTTACTCGTAGCCGGCTCGTTTACCCATACGTTAAATACAGGTGCGTTGCTCTTGAAGAGAGTCACGACCTCAAACACTTGATGCGAACAAAATACAAAGCTCCGATCATAAATCGTCGGAAGGTTACACTAGATTAACGGTATTGAAGCAAATAAAAAAGGTTGTGTAAAAGATCGTATCTTCCGAAAATTCCACAATCAGCTGGTCGCTCCCGGTATCGTTTAGGTGTTAGCGCTTATCTACTCGGTGGTACGCCGGATAGCTGCCGGCAGTCAACAGGTGTTCGTACTCCGGAATATACGCAAGATGCAAATTCATTTACATACAAGAATTCATCTACTACATGGATTGACCGGTACAAGAATTCGTCTACTACATGGATTGATCGGTACAAGAATTCATCTACTACATGGATTGATCGGTACAAGAATTCGTCTACTACATGGATTGATCGGTACAAGAATTCATCTACTACATGGACCCCCTAAAAGTAATGAAGATGTAACACTCCCTAACGAGATTTTTAATAACATACCTGAAATCGTCAGGAGGGTAATGAAAAATACTTAAATCAATGAAATATGGAAATTATCCAAGAGGTTGTGAATCTGAAAGAATTTTAGATAACATAACGTAAAAGAAAACCAACGCCATTTCACTTACATGTAGGTAGGGCGATGAACTTCCACCAGATAATAGCCTCACAATGGAGAAAACGGCTTCTGAGTTACTCTACTCGACAACGCCAATAAACAGGTAAAATTGCCAGAGATTTTACGTGAATGATGGCAAATATTACCCACTGGTTTTAGAAGAATTCACAATGCCACGCTCTACAAGTACAACCTCGTTGGCTTTAAAACGGAAATGAAGTGAAAAAATTACGCGATTCTGCGCGAGGAAAGAAGCACGCGTACAAGTGGCGCCATCTCACCTATATCCTGCCTAATGTAGCAAGCGGTAATTTTGAAATTTGAATATGGATAAACTAAACTGTTACAAGTTTCAATTCTTGTTCGTTAAATTGTCCTGCCGAATTACACTCGAGGTTTGTATTTAAACCGAGTAAATTTGGGTTGTTGCAATTCAAATCTATTTCCTTTTAGCAATTGAACTCGAAAAACTGTCAACCTAAAAATGCTCCACCTTCGGTGTCGCATTTTTATTAGTTGACAGTTTTTCTCGTTTAATTGCTAGGCAACAGATTTTCATTACCTAAACAACCCAAATTTACTCGGTAAAATACAAACCTCTTGTGCAATTATAAGTGAAAAATAATTTACACGTAAAATTAATTGTCCATTAAATAATTGTGCGATATACCTCTTAAATAATCGAGTATTGCGGTGGTTGTAATTTGCTACCAGGCGTTTAATTCGGCTATCAGCATCGCGATATTTTTTCAATTTCGTTGGTGGAACATGCCCCGCAATCAATTTTTCATAATATGAGTCCCTTCCAGCTTGTACTTTCCGCAAACCATCAATAAAACTCCATATTGTGGGATGTTGTGTAGAAAGTTCGGTTTGTAACAGTCTGTGGGCCGCTTCGGCATGGTTATTGGTCCTATCGATGTCGTTTATAACACGACTATAGACACTCCATAGTTGCGATACGTCTTCCATTTCCTCGACGATTGGGCCTTTCTATACAAAAATCCTCAAACCAATTTAAGAGAGGGTGTAATTCTATAGGAAGTTCGTCCGCGAGACTTTCTATAGCAACATCAAGATCCGCAATAGGCACAAAAGCTAAGGAACTTATCATTCGAGTTTGCAACGCAAAGTCCCCTTCATTATTGTATCCAAGATGTTTTTTCAAATTTTGTGCTAGATGAAAAAAACATCCCAGCATTTGTGCGTTTGGAAATCCGTTTTGGAGCTCCATGTTCAAAATCGCACGATATCTTTTCGGGGTCCAAATTTAGTTCAAGTTGTTTCAATTGTTCGATCATCAGTGTGTACGTTGCCATTTGCTTATTTGGTAAAAGCACGCATACAGCAGGATGAACGCCTCCGAAACGTTCTGCCATGATTACATGCACTTGTGCAAATATCAGTGGAGCGGATTTAAACGTTCCGTCAACGAACCAATGCTTTGACTCCTTAAGAACCTAAAATAAATTACAGTAAGCTAATGTTTAGAAATAAATTTGAATATAGCTTAAGCCGGGGATCCACCAAACGCGCAAAACGTTTGCAAACGTTCGCAAACCTTTGCAACTGTTTGCGAACGTATGTATTCCTCCGGTGGAGCCAGACTGGCGCGCACGCACGGTTCGTGCGCGTAGTTATTCCGGGCGATGTCGGTAGATCAAAAGGAATTCGTTGCGAATGCGCGTGTAGTGGAGTCAGATGTTTTAGTTCGCAAGCAGCAACGTTTGTCCTTTTAGTTAGTTTTCATCTATTTGTGCGATAAATGGAGTGGGAGCAAGAAAAATGTTTACAATTAATTGCCGCGTATGGCTTGTATCCTGAATTGTGGCAAGCGACTCACAAGTACTATTATAATAAATTAAAAAAGAATGATGCATGGTGTGAAATAGCGAAACAACTAGAGAGTAATGTAGAAATTATTAAGGCAAAACTAAACTCTCTTCTGGCGTCATTTCGGCGAGAAAAAGCTAGACAGGAGAGTACTACGGGGACTGGAAAAGGTAATCTTCTTTACCATTTATCAATGCGATGGTAAAAACATATTTTTTCAGGGCGAAATGAGATTTATAGGAGTAAGTGGTTTGGATTCGAGGCGTTCCAATTTTTAATGGACAAGAGTAAATGCAGGAAATCCCTAAACACCTCTCAAAATAAAAGTAAAATTGTGGAGGGCACACCTGCGGAGGAAACAGAGGTAAAAACCATTTTTTTTTTATAAATATGTTTTTTTAGTCGATAGTCGGAAAAATGGCATATTATTGTTTTGTTTATGTCATCACAAAGCATGTGATTTCCGTACTGTACGGGAATCTTAATTCCTGTACAGTACGGGAAAATATCTATATTCTTGTGAGCATGAAAAAATAAAAGAACAGTTATACACGCAAATGAATAGTTTATTGCCTATTAATATGTACATTAATAGTACAATTATTGCAAGATCCAATCAAATTTGGTAGTCCAGTCAATGTCGACTCTACTTCATAATTAATTGAAGAAGTGGACTCCGTATTTGTTTTGGAGATGGTGCTAGTAGAGACGCCAACATTGCTTGCACCCTTACACTGAATATGTGCGCCAGAAATTGAAGTAACTATTCTCTCTGCCACATCCATTTTATTTTTTAAGGATTCTTCTATATATCCTTCCGCCACATTCGACGATTTCCAACCGCCGTGACGTTTTAAAACAGTCAAATCTGCACCATTATCTACCAAAATTGTCGCAGATGTCCTTCGAAAACAATGTCCCGTGTAAAGGTTTGCATCGGACAGTTTCAAAAAGTTAGCAACGATTTGTGGAATGCTGGCAAATGTATGCACCCCCACTACTTGCTTAAATCCTTTACCATTATGGTATTTGAAGAAAAACCTATTGCAGTGAAAATTGGATGGTCGAACGGCTGCATATTTACGGTATGTTTCTAAATAAGTGTCGTTTACTATAAACGACCGTGGTTTATTGGTTTTGTTGCATGGAATCTTCACCAGTAGTTGTGAACCCAAATCCTCAATGTCCGTAAGCTTTATGTTACATAACTCCTCTCGCCGACAGGCGCCATAAATTCCGAAAATTACCACAACCTAAAAAAATTAAATTATAATCTTCAGGCCTTTCAATTAAAATCTTACTTTAGCCATGAGGTAAGTATCATCTGGAGCGTTCATCATAAATTCTCGGATTTGTTCGTTGGTGAAGACTTTCGACTTCTTTGCTTTGTAACCCACGGATTGCTTTTTCAAATATGCTCGCAGTTTGTTATATGAAGTGATGTCTACATTTTGCTTTAACATAAGAGTGGCCTTCAACATGGAGTAATTTGCCCAAAGTGTTGAGGGTTTCATCTTTTTCGACAAATCAAGAAAATATCCGAGTACCACATTTTCCGAAAACGAATAAGTTCCTTTACTTGATCTATATTCCATAAAACGTTGATAAGCATTTTCATACTTCCCCTCGATTTAGTTGGCAACAGATTAAGAGTAGCTTCATTGACTGCCTCCAAAACTTCAGGTGGTGTTCTACAAAATAAATCTTCATCAAAATTACCATCGATATCCATTTTATATTAATATTGCACATCAACTAATTATAAATTCACTCAAACGAAAAAATTTTCGATTTGTTTACGTCATGTCCATGGTAACGTTCAAACAATGCATGCTCGGAAAACGAACTTGATGTTTGCATTTATTAATTACTGTAAATAAAAAAAAGGCGCCGCCCGGGTTCGATCCTCGCACCTATCGCATACAAGCCTTGACTAATGACATTAGACCAAATGACAATTGGTGAAAATTAAATTTAGTTTGAAATGGTATATTTGGTGTTTTAACTATTGGCTATCGACTAAAAAATAGTATGTACAACACGTAGGAAAAGTATATTCCTGGACTCTGATAGTTGTAAGCCTCGGCTAACGCCTCGGCTTACAATCACTATCATCGTCCAGGAATATGCAACTTTTCCTACTTGTCATACAATCTACTATTATTGTACTGCAAACGCATTGGGAATGTCGTTTCCGGCTGTCTACCGCTATATTATTTTTGAAAACTTTTACCACTATTTTATTAACAAAAATATTAACAAACTCAAGCATATTCATTTTGCCACGGAACGGATCCAGTCGTGGAAAAAAAATCTAGAAAATTCGTTTCTAATTTCCTGGGCATGACGTGATGGCCTTCTTGGCACTTTTCTCAAAGGAGCTAAAGAGGTCATTTCACTGTCACTCCTCCATTTTCCAAATATCATCTGGCCGTTGACTTCTGTGTCTAACCAGTTCTCCGGACAATATAGCTGTTTAGATGTGTTACTCTTCCGCAAGAAGTTATGCAAATAAATGCAAGCCATTACAACTAATTGTGCTCTTTCGGTTGTTAAAAGTAGTGGCTTCCATAAAACTCTAAAAACACTCGAACAAATACCAAACGCATTCTCTACCACTCTTCGAGCCCGGCTTAAACGATAATTGAATATCCTTTCTTTAGAACCCTTTTCGTAGAACCCTGAATAAGGTTTCATCAAATTCTCACTTAAAGCAAAAGCTTCATCTCCCAAAATTACAAATGGTAATTGCGTTTTATCATTTGATAGTGTTTTTGGAGGTGGTAAATTTAATTCCCCGTTGCACAGATCTTCATAAAGTTTAGTATTCTTAAAGACGCCCCCGTCAGAGATCCTACCTTGACATCCAACATCCGCCAACATGAACTTGTAGTTCGCATCCACCATTGCGAATAAGACGATGCTAAAGAAGGATTTATAATTGTAGTAATCACTACCGCTAGCCGCAGGACATTGCATAAGCACATGCTTCCCGTCGATGGCTCCAATTGCATGTGGAAAGTTCCATTGTTCTTCGAATTCTGTAGCCACTTGGAACCATTCCTCCTGAGTTTGTGGCATCTGAAAATCATTAAAAAGATGATACTTAGTTATCCTTTTTAGGATGAAAATTTTGATAATGACTCAATTGACCACAACGATCAGGACACTACTCTACAGGAAACAATAGACGATACGCTCACGGAAGATTTTGAGTTACAACAAACACAACGTACGAATGTTGGACATGAATCAAATATGGTACACGACAAGAATGTACGTCGGCAGGTTGTTGTAAATGAACAGAATGCTGCACGTCAACCCAATGTTGTACCTGGCAGAAATATTGCACGTCAACCGAAAAGAAAGAAAGCCGAACCAGAAACTAAATCTGATCCTCGAATCGATGCCGCCTTAAATATAATACAAGGAATAAATCAACGTGATGCTTCTGACATATATGGCGAGCATGTCGCTATGAAAATGAAAAGTTACAACCATAGAACCCAGGCAATAGTACAGCATTTAATCAATGACATCTTATTTAATGCAGATATGGGGGTATATAATCACGAGAGTAATACAAGAAATATAAATGTTCAGCCCTCCCGTCTTCAACCCTTGGTCTCGCCACATGCATTTGCAACTGAATCTTCATCTTCACATACAAGTGCATCTACATCAAGAACATCCACACCACTGCCGGGATTTATATCAAGTTGCTCTCGTACAACAACATGCGTCGACACACAAAATGATATGCTACATCCTACATCAATAATAACAGATTATGTTTCCAACTATGACCCATCCACACATTATTAATTATGATTTTTATACACATATTTGTACTTTTTTTTACTTAACTGCTTACATGCATTAATAGCACTTAAATAAAATAAACAGTTTAAGTTAATCAGTGTGCTCACCTTTACGTAGTCGTCCAACGCTTCTATTACTGCTCCGCACACTTCTGGGATAATTCTGGAAATAAGTTGCCTTGAAACTCCAAAAAGGTACATCAAACTGCGATAGGAATCCCCAGTTGCCAAGAATCGAAGCGTTATGGCCAGCCTAACTTCCACAGGTATCGAACTTCTGTAATTTGTGTCTTTTTTACGTACACGTTCATCAACGAGTGAAGCTAAGGCATCAAAATCCTCGGGAGACATACGGCAAAAGTTATTAAATAACCCACTTCCATCATCCTGTCGTAGATCAATTAGCAGTTGTTTTGCATCTCTCGATTTCAAAAAACGCGACACCCAAACTTTATGTTTTCTTTTTCTTTTCGTCTTTTCCTCTTCCACTAACACCGACATAATGAGTAGTGACGCGGAAGCACATGCAACTACTTGTATTGTTGCTGCCATTTTATTTAAGTCACAAATTCGCGTAAATCTACGGATCGACGACAAACTGTTTGCAAACGAGCAATTCGTCTGAGTTTGCTTTGTGGAGACAGGGGATGAAAACAATTGATTGCAAACGTTCGCAATCGTTCGCGAACGTTTGTGAACAATGCTTTTTTGGTGGAGTCGCACCTCGTTTACGCTCTGTTGGCGGCCAAAAATGAATATTCTGTTCGGTGTTGGTCCACTATCGCTTAAAAGAAAATTTTCCCGAATGTTATTCGAAGTCATGTACGTTTTATACTCTTCTGGAATTACTAATTCTTCGGCCGTTATTGGTGCATGTGGTGCCACATTCATTTCATTCCGTTTTCGTCTCACCATCTTTTTCAAAGCATCATTATTGGGTAATTCAACTTGTCCACTTCGCGATAATCCAACTACACAATTGTTAATTACTTGGCTAGTTTGCTCCATCGTGTCCTCAGCTCTTCTTTTTATTGCGGTCCTTACGATTTCAGCTTCAACACGTGCTGCAGAACTACCATGACAATGCTCATTTAAACACTTAACAACGGCGTCATTTAGTGTATGGATACGGTCCTTGCAACGTTGTTGTCCATCAATAGACCTTTGCTCACACATCCAAAAACTCTTTTCAGCACAAGCACTTACGCGATCGAACACATATACAAATCCATCGCTGTGAAATTTTCGTTTTCCTTTCTTGCTGAGAATCTCCATAACTTAGTAAACTACGTAAAATCAGAGGAATCACAATAACACAACTTTACGAAGCTTAAATGTTACTGAAGTAATCAAATTACTTGTCTTTGGTCTATATAAAGACGTGCCCACCATGCTGATTGCTATATATGATAATAGGTAAATAATTACCTATAGAGGTGAAAGGTAAAATGAAGAAATTCCTAAACCTAATCTATTTAATTAAATAACGACCGCGCATAATGAAATTTTCCCCGAAAAGGTAATCACCCGATGATTAATAAATAATTAATAGTTTACTTTAGAATTTTAATTACACCATGTGCAGTATAATCAAATCATAATGTGACAAATTTTTTTTTACATATGTGGAACAAGACCCCATCATTTTTCAATTCTGCGGTGAAATGTCCTCGCTTCTAAATGGCGGCGTTCAATCGGCTACGTTCAAACGTCCTAGGCCGCGGTGCCGCATAGTAAGACGTTCGTTTGTGTTTCGAAGGGTTAGTGAAAGTTACGTCTTTGTTTGATAAATTTATCTTCCTTTTCTTCGAAGCTTTGCCTTTCCAATTTTCAATAACATCATGTTTTGTGGCACAAATGTCTTCGTTGGTATAGCCGAGAACGCTTTCTTCATTATTTTCTGAATTTTTTATACTTTCACGATCTGCAGACATTTCATGCAAAGACACCATTGACTGTATTTCGTTGATATGTTTATATATACAGTGTGTCCCAGATCGGGTGGAATTGCATGGATAACTTTCTTATTATTAAAGATAGAGAATTGGTCAAATGGACAATGTTTTGCAGTTTTAGATGCTTATTTAAAATTTCTTTATGGAAATTCAAAATGTCGAATAGGTTCGATGTAAATTCAAAAAAACTAAAATTGGTCATTTCCTTTAATGTCTTATATCATCGAAAGTATAAGAGGTAAACAAAAAACGTACAACGTTTTAAGCTGTTACACTTTGAACACTAACGTTTATATTGGCGACACTAACGCTGCTAGTTTAACTAGTGTATAAAGATTGAATCGATTTTCTCAAATGGGTCAGTTTCCTTTTGTGCACTAACGATTTCTTCAGCGGCACTAACGGAACACTAACCATATGAGGTAAGCAGAACAATGGTCTGCTGTAGTAGGCCTGCCAAGTTCATGGACATCTGTCGGAATGATTTTAAGCACTACTGCAGTTACACTTATATTGCTAACGTTGTGGAGGGGAGGCGAATCGTTCACGATAGACTTTGTCCCGATGCCTTTTCTCCCACTGTAGCACACATCGGTCGCGTATATCCCCGTCTTCATGTCCTGGTATCTCCATGGACGTACTTCAAACGTTCAGCTATGAACATTGAGTAGTATAGCCAAGCACACCTACATTTACCATAGAAAACTGAGAATGTGCTTCTCTGCTGACACCGGAAGTTTACCACGATGTGATCAGACATATATTTTGACCTTTTTAAAATTTTCTATCAGCCAATTTGAAGTTGTTCGTAGCAAACGATAAAGGTTTCTGAAACTAAAACAACACTATGTGATAGGTAATAATAATTAGAATATGTACTAACTTTCTTATCAGTAAGTTCGTTAAGTTATGGCTATTTCGTCATCTTCGTGTAGGACGTTGTTAGCTCTCGTTGAATACCTGCAGGCGGCACAATGTCAATGTTCTTATTTATTAATATATTTTGTTGAAATTTTAACCAACGCAAAACGCAATCATAGCGCATATAGTAAAAATAAGAGGTGCGCTGGAGATATTTCATTGAAATTGTAACAATATATGCATTTAGTAAAGAAAAACATAGTGCGCATAGCTATAACCTTTTGGGAGGTACTGATGAATTTATGGAAAATACGCTGAAGTTACTCGCCTTGGGGCGAAAATCTTTTTACTTGTTCCTTTATAGTCCTTTCTTTAGATTAAATATTTAGCACGTTTTGTCGATAGATGTTGCATTCGGTTTTTTAAAGTGCTCTTTATTTAAACTAATTTAACAATTAAGTACGTCAATGGAGTGCCTACGATTGTCCAAAAAAACTAAATACGTCCAGCAGCAAAAGTCTTTTGTGTTACTACCAAAATGTACGAAGTTTACGCGGTAAAGTGTCTGAATTTAATTTGCATATTAGTGCATGCGAATATGATGTTATTGCTCTAATTGAAACTTGGCTATCCCATGATATCTCAAATTCTGAATATTTCCCCAGCGATAGTTACTTGGTCTTCAGATGTGATAGAAACTTTGCTCTAACAAATACTTCGCGTGGTGGTGGTGTGTTACTCGCGTTTAGGAATGACATTGTGGTGGAAACTTTAAATGTATCAAAACTGTCACAAGCTCTACATACGTTCGACATTGTTGGATGCAAGTGTACGTGGTGCGGGTGCAGCCTCTATCTTTTTGTTATTTATATTCCGCGCACACCCTCTGTTATTGAACTTGAAATTTTGAACGATTACTTTTTGCAGAATTACTTGTATGTGAATAATTTGCTCATATTAGGAGATTATAACATTTCGAGCTTTTGTAATGCTAATGGGTCTGATGCGTTATTTTCTATAATGTCTAATTTCACAGAGTTGTTCTCCATGAGTCAATGGAATCAAGTGTATAACAACCGCGACAAGCTATTAGATCTTGTGTTTGCAAACTTCAATTGTACTGTCGATCATGATGACCATCCACTGGTAAAAAAAGATTTGTACCATCCAGCACTTGCAGTTTCATTTGAATTGTGTACTTCGTCAACAAAAGATTTTCCGAAACTGCCAGATGTTAAAAAATATAACTTTGAGAAAGCTAATTTTGTAGAGCTCTACAATACACTAAGAAGGGTTGATTGGTCGCCTGTAAACGAGTGTACGAATCTCGACGATGCATGCAATATGTTTTATAGTATGTTATATGAAATATTTGATTTATATGTACCTTGTTATAGTAATAGGAGAGCCAAGCATACATTTCCGCCTTGGTTCACAAATGAAATTATTTCTAATATTAAAGCGAAAAACGTGTTTCACCGTAAACACAGAAACTTGGGTTGTAGATACAGCTTTAATCAGTTTAAAAGTTTGCGTGCCATAATTAAGAAACAGATAAAGTCTGCTTTCGACACCTATATTGTTACAGCAGAGAATTCTATAAAGTCAGACAGCAGACATTTCTGGTCCTTTGTGAATGCTAGGAAACGTTCCTCAAGAATACCAGGTAAGATGTGGAAAGACGATGCATCTTTTGATAACCCTCTTCAAATTGTTAACGCTTTTGCTACACATTTTAACTGTTTATCAAACGGCGTTATCTGATGAAGAAAATCATCTGTACATTTCTAGCTCTATCGTTAGTAATTCATTTAAGTATCAAAAACATATCCGAAAGTGACATTAAATCAGCAGTGGCTAAACTTAAAAATAAACCAACTGCGGGGTTTGATCAAGTGCCGAGTTTTTTTATTAAGGATTGTGCTGATAGTCTCTTATATCCTTTGATCATAATCTTTAATTTATGCATAACGACATCAACTTTCCCTATTAAGTGGAAGACTGCCCGCATATGCCCCGTTTTTAAAGGTCACGGACATGACTCTACAAATGTGTGCAACTACAGACCAATAGCAATCTTATCAAATTTCTCAAAATTATTTGAGATAATTGTGTACAATAGGATATATAACTCTTTAAAAAGTCATATATCATTAGATCAACATGGGTTTGTCGATAAGCGATCAACGTGCACGAATCTGTGTTCTTTTTATCAGTTTACGGTCGAAATTCTCGACAACAAAGGTCAAGTTGACGTGATCTATACGGATCTTTCGAAAGCGTTTGACTGCATAAATCACCCCTATTATTAACAAAATTGCGTCTGTATGGGCTTAGTGATTGCCTTCTTGCACTATTACAATCCTACTTGGAAAACAGACACCAAATAGTAGTCTATAATGGATATGCGTCAAACGCTTATGAGGCAAGGACAGAAGTACCACAGGGTTCCATTTTGGGGCCCCTTCTCTTTGTATTGTTCATAAACGACCTTCCTGAGGTGCTCAATTGCTCGACGTTAATGTATGCAGATGATGTCAAGCTTTTTGCTTCTATCTCATGTGTTGATGATTGTGTTACATTACAAAGGAATTTGGAGCGTTTACATGAGTGGTGTCGCACCAATAAACTTAATCTAAATATAGGCAAATGTAGAACTATGTCGTTCTCTAGAAAGAAGCATCCTATAAATTATCAATACAGCATTGCTACGCAAACTTTAATACGTTGTAATGAATTCAAGGACCTGGGAGTCATATTTGATGACAAATTATCTTTTAATAAACATATATGTGAACTGGTTTCATCAGCAAACAGAACGTTGGGTTTCATTATGAGATGTAGTAAACAATTTACTAATATTTATACACTAAAACATTTATTCTGTAGGCTTGTTCGATCTCGTGTTGAATACTGTGCCTTAATCTGGTCACCTTACTATGTTCTATACAAAGAAGGCTGCAGCATTGTAAGTATTATAAATTTAAGAATTGCTATAATTATTTGCACCCTATGTTATCAATCGTATCATAATCATGTTATTCATATTGAATATTTGTGTTTTATGTACAGAGTGTCCCGATTTCGACATTTTTACTTTTTTGAATAACACAAAATGGTGTAATTAGAATTTTCATAGCCCATCCATAGCCCTTTTAGTTTTATAATACTAAATAAATAATATTAAAAAATAAAATACAAAAATGATATAGAGGGGAAAATTGAAAAATCTATATTTTTAATCACCCCTTGTAGGTCAACTATCAAAAAGGTAAAAACGGCATTTTATAGCGTTTTTAACGTAGATTCCAGTGTTTGTTTCAGTTTTTGTCTGATAATCTGTTTTTTCGAGTTATAATAGGTACAATTCTGTGTTTTTTTTTAAATAACACTCTTTAACACAATTTATATATTGTTTAATTTTACTTATTTATACTCTTTAAAAAAATGTATATACAGGCTGTTTGATAAAAAACGCCCCAAGCTATAGTTTTCGTCCGATTGCAATGAATCAAAAATCATATTACATGGTTTCAAAAATACTACAAAATAACCATAATTAAAACATTTTTAACCATTATTATCGAAGACAATTAACAGTAATCTTAATTTTTTTTAATAGAATAATGTATTTTTTATTTAGTTTGATAAATTTCTTCTTCACGAATTCAACGATGTATCACAACCTTATACTTTAATGCAGTTTTCCACAAAAAGGTAAATACATAAATACATTTAAAAAATGCCATGGAAAACAATTGTTGATTGTTGAGTACACTTGCAGCATGCCGGTTAATTGATTAAAATCCATTTTCCGTTAGAAGAACAAACAATTGAATTTATTTCAACAAACTTGAAATAATCAGCAGATAATTAAATTGACGTTTTATAGCTTCTCAACAATTAACAATTGTTATTCATAGCATTTTTAAAATGTATTTATTTACCTTTTTTGTAGAAAAATGCATTCAAGTATAAGATTGTGATACATCGTTGAATTCGTGAAGAAGAAATTAATCAAACTAAATAAAAAAAATATATTATTCCATTAAAAAATTAAGATGACTTAATTGTCTTCGATAATAATGGTTAAAAATGTTTTAATTATGGTTTTTTTGTAGTATTTTTGAAACCATTTAAAATGGTTTTTGTATCATTACAATCGAATGAAAACTATAGACGCTACGGCTTGGGGCGTTTTTTATTAAACAGCCTGTATATTGTGTTTAATTAAAAAATAAAAAAAATAAAATTGCAACTGGAACAAAACATTTTCAGAAAAAAAAATTTAATTGCATTACTGCAGTGTACGGTAAAAACGCTATGAAAGACTGTTTTTACTTGTTTGATAGATAGTTGAGATACAAAGGGCAATAAAAAGCAAACATATCACTTTTAACCTGTATGTTAAAAACTACAAAGAACATCAAAATATTCAAAAATGTAAAAGTTTCACAAAAATCACATGCCTCTATCTTTATATATGTATATACATTCAAAAGTGTCAAAATGTGGACACCTTGTACTTATACATTAAAATAGTACTATAAAGTATTGTCTAAAGTAATGAAAATACTCTGCATTTAGTTTTCTTTCTTGTTACTACAAAAGATATTTTTTTAGAAAAGAGAAAAAACATGACATAGAAGATGGTAGCATATTACCCAGTACTGAAAACGAATGTTACATTACCGATCAATGTAATGATTGCTCTATTGACGATTCTTTTGCTATACCTATTGTATCAGAAATTATGGACACTAGCAATACATTGTCCTCAAAGGAAGAAATGGAAACCAAATACTTTTCCTATGCTTCCTCAATAAACGACAGCGATGTAGAAGAAAATGAAATGAACGCTGATTTGGGTTTATCTGGTCGGCGAATTGTAGATTTACATCATTTATTCAATTCTCTAAAATCTTTAAAACAAAACGGCTTTGGATGTTCTTTTTATGACTTGGAAATTACAGGAGAGAAATTGGAGGGATTAGAAAGCACACTGACGTTCAAGTGCAACATGTGTGGAAAATTAGATACCATCAAGACAAACGGTGGCAAATCATCTTTTGGTTCTGCTACTCGTAGTGCTGTTATCGGTTGTTTGACGGTTGGAATTGGGTACAGTCAATTTTCTGAACTGCTTGCGGCAATGGATATGGACTGTTACACCACAGCAGTGATCTGATATACACCAATTTGGTGTAATTAAGTACATTCTAATCTTTTCCGTACGGCATTTCTTGCTTAAAATTACCTAAGTAATTATCGCACATTTCCATAACATAATTACATCTTTATGTCCATTCAAGATGCAAAATTGTCAACACAAAACCATGCACTTAATCACAGATAGAAGTGCCTTCACTTTAACCTATTATGTATGCAAATTAGTTTATGACCTCTATTGTCCCTAAGACATGCCTAGGGTTTTACCTGAAGTTGAGAGAGACTATTTCGATTAATAGGAAATCTAAGCGACTTTCGCCCTTACAAGCAATAATAAAATATTGGTTTTTGACACTTTTTTGATAGTAAATTTGAATTCTAACAATTTCTCAAATGCTATAAAATTCCTTAAAAAAATATTGTACGCTCCTATGTTTATTACAAAATTGTATCATTGTTCGTTATTATGCAGTGTGGACTGCTATTATTTCAATAAAAAAATTCACAGAGGCGTTATTATTAATTGTATTAAACCGTATAAAACATAGGAGCGTACAACTCTAACCGCAGATTACGTTGACGTATCACAACTTTTTTCACATTGCATAATTAAGAAAAAATGTGTCAAAAACCTTAACATTGCTCTTATGGAAGTATGGTGTGTTGCAAACTTGCGACTAGATACCCCTTAAGAAACGGTTCATTTAATAAATATTATTAAATAATCCGCCAAAAATACGTTTCAACAAAGGGCCGCATAGCAGCCGGTGAAACGCAAAAGTAAAAAACAGGAATGCGAAAGCTCGCAAGGTCAACTAACGGACCTGTCCTGTTGTTTCGTATAACGAAACCTTCTAGTTATTAATATAACAACTAGACAAACGTCAAAGACGTACACTGGATCTGTCCTATTGTTTCATATAACGAAACCTTCTAGTTATTAATATAACAACTAGGCAAAAGTCAACGACGTACAAGGCATGGAAAAAACCATCGTATAAATGTAGTACTTACTGGATGGCGAATCAGCGGACGTAGAACGGCGTTCCCGTGATTTGGTTTTCTTTAAGCCGTCTAATTGCTGAGACAATTTCCTTAATTTTCTCTTGATGGCGTGGTAATCGTCATTTCCTTTATCCTCGCGATCGTAGGACTTCCGCTTGTGCTTACCCATTGTAAAAACAAAACAAAATGGCACGTGGAAGTGGAGAACGAAGTACAACGCGTGACACACAAAAAAACAATGACGTCCTGCACCAACATGATCTCGGAGGGCACCGGCTCCCCACCTTTCTTTGCTTTATTTTTAAATGTGTGACGCGTAACTCGCAGAGGAACTACTACATATTAATCACTCGGAAGAGAGCGGAGTACAATTGCAGATTACGTACCTATAGATTTTTATTGGATTTCTTACATTGCTAGTCGTATGATGAACTTCATATTTAATAGGAACTGTACCCTGGCACAAACGGTTTCCATCCGGTTTAATAAAATCTTCAGCGCGGAAGCGCTTTTCGCATATCTTTTTATTAACGATCCTCGAGATCGTTTATAATTTTGCATTGCTGTCTGTCTGTCTACAGCCCAAAAACTGCTCAAACCTCCAAAAAAGGGTTTCTTTTATAATTCTTGTTAATTGTTACAAAGAACATATGAATGTCTGGTTTTCTGTGTTAGTAAATATTCCTTAAACCTAACGCCGATTAATAGTTATTTATGCATCAATGGCATTAAGACGATATTTATGCCGAGGGCGATAGAGCCCGAGAAGTTTAATTGCATAAATTTGTGTGTCGGAAGTGTGTTTAAGGGTAAAATGGACCCTAAATAAGAAGCGCGATTGCTACAAATATGGCAGTAGTTGGAGGAAGAGGACAGAATAGAGAATCAAGTGCCTGAAGAACAATTAGATGACGAGGAAAGTGATGAAGATTGCATTGAAATTGATAATGATCAAATATCATCAAACAGATTCAGAAGTGTCCGGATGAATCTGACTGAATAAATAAAAATAAATAAATTTAATATATTTCGGTTGATGTTGCAACCTTCAGAAAAATTTATATATTGGTCCGAGTACTGGTGATCACAACATTAATTACACTAGATTTATAAACCATTACTGTTAAATTAAAACGTTGACAAAGATGTTTAAAGATTACAAAATACAGAACACAGACATGCCCAAACAGGCAAAAATTACGACATTTAATCCATGCGGCTAAGGTTGCCATCAACAAAATTACACATCCAGGACAAAAAGCACGAAAACCCCTGATTTTTGGGCTGTAAATCCGGACATTCTAAGTAATTTTTAAAAGTTCATGAATAATGTTTATTTATTATCCTAAAACAATACAGATTTTCTGATCATTAAAAAAACAATAAGCGCAAACTAATTCTAACTTTTATGTCCTACGTGGAAATTTGAACCTTCCATTTTTTTATATTTCTCCGCCTTGCCTATACTATTTAAAACTTCTTTTTTATCTAGGAGGAATTTATAAAAATTAATACAATTGTGTCTTTAAAATTGTACTTAGTTTTTATTATCGACGAAACGGTTGATGTGAATAGCATATTTCGCTCTTTCGTCCACTGTTGGGTAATTAATGAGAACACTCTTTCTACGTTTGCATTATGAGCCGGTATGCAAAAGAAGTACTGTGCAATTTTTATTAGTTCAGAATACAAATATGCATTCGGAGTTTTAAAAAAATTGAACCATAATTGACTGACAGTTAACAATTTGTCTTCATCACTTAAGTTTAAGCTGAATGTTTTTAAATTCATCCACTCATCTAGCAATTTATTTTCATCGATATTAATGTTCTTATTTTGTAAAAATATAACTGTATCCTCAATTACCGTCCATGGAGTATTATTCGTAATGTTGGTCAAAACCATCCACTCAAACTGTTGAAAAGGTTTGATCCATTTTTCTATATATGTTTTCATTTCATGATAGAAATCGGTACAACATTTAGCGAACTCTTTTTTTGTGTCTTCATCATGCGCTGTTAAAACACTACGGATTTTTAGTGGTAAAAAGTGTTCATTTACCCTGTTATCTAACGTTCTTATAATAAAAGTATGTTCCTCGTTTCCAGGACAGAATTATTACTTTTTTCTAATTTTTCAATTTGTGCGTGAAACACGTGCATTATCGAGTGAATGAGAAATAAATACGCTTCTGAGAGGGAGTCTTCGAAAAACTTCTTTATTAAAACGGATGGCTTCTCCAAGCTTCCAAAATAGTCCTTGAGTGGCTTATACAGCTTCAATAATCGCTCAAAAGCTGGGAAAAGACTAAGCCAGCGCGTTTTTGAATGATAGAGTAGCTGTTTGTATTCCGCGTCAGCTGCAGCACAGAAGTCTTTTAGTGACTCAGTTCGCACAGTGTATATAGAAAAATAATTGTAGATTTTCATTATAATAGATTCCGCATCTAATGTAGTACTAGCGGTATACCAAAAGATACTGCATTTTCTTATACCAAGGTGCCACTTGGTACAGCTGTTCCTTAGAGCCATTTAGACGATTTGGCCCGAAGAACACTTGACATTTTCCGTGTGGGTAGATTTTAGAGGGGGTGGGGGTGATTTATTGTAACATTTTTTAAAAAACTAAATATGGCCTAGAGACGAGATCTGGGTGTCGATTTCGTATGATTTTAACCCGAGGAATCCAATGGTAGCGCCAGAAATGTAATCCGGATACCGGAAGTCCGTGAAAAGCCGCCATTTTTAGAAAATGACAGACTTTTGATCGAATTATATTTCTAAGGCACACCGGGTCGTGTAAGGTGTCTAGAGTTATGTTTTTGGGGTCAGGGAATTCATTTATGATAACAAAAATAACCTACTGGCATCGGAACTGTATGAGAGGCTTCCCTACTGCACTTTTTGAAGACGTCGCACGCGGTGAAACCCAAGATATTCCAAAGTTTTAAGATCTAGAGAAATTTGTAATATTTTGTTGAATAAAAATACACATTAACAAAACATAAAATATATTAAAACATGGGGTAAACAATTTATAAGCATATGAAGGATCACCAAGTACATCGCTGACCTCCTCTGAGATTGCGTTATCACCACTGAAAAGGAATTTCACATACCGGGTGAATAATTTAAAACCGAACGTAGGAAATTAACATGCGAAAAACGTTTTTTGCCGATCGTTGCTCCCCATGTTAACTTAGAGGGTTTGTAATGACACCACTCGAAAGAAGATTTTTTCTCATCTAATGATATACGAATTAGCTTATTTTCAGGTGTATTTCTCATTATTTTATCAAAAATTCGGCAATAAATCCAATTAGCAAAATCATGTTAAGCCATGGAAATTTCCTAACGAATTAAAATAGGTTTTCACATGCACGGAAAACAAATATCGCGTACTAGAGTAAACATTTCCGCTGTAAACGTTGTTTATTATAATAGTATTTTACATTATTATCCAGGTAAGTGAGTTTTTACTGGCGATAGGAGAAGTTGACTAGCGAGCCGTTAGGCGAGCTTGTCATCTCCTAGAGCCAGTAAAAACTATTACCTGGCGTATAATGTACAATATTTTATTTGTTATTCATTTGTAAACAATAGTAAATGTAAATAATTAGTTCTTAAATTAATCTTGAAGAAATGTCTAAAATATCATGTTATCCATGTAACAGAGACTTCGCATTAATTCTGGCCAATGAAATTACTAGATTACTAACTTGTAAAATTTTTACAGGTCTGCTGTCAGTTTTACAGGTCTGCTGTCAGTTTTACAAGTCAGTAGCGTTTAAACATGACGTTTACCCGTTTGCGTTTTGTCTTGTTAATCAACGTTTACAACTGAGTAACAAATAAATACTTTTTCCTCAGTGAACCGCATTTTACAAAAAAATTAATGCCAGGCGTCATATAAACTGATATTGATTTCGACGTTTGAATCTGCTTTTTGTCTTAGTCATGGCTAAACATGATTTTGGTAAGTGGATTTCTCGAGTTTTTGCTAATATAGTGACAAATACACCTGAAAATGAACTCATTCGTATATCATTAGACGAGGAAAAAAACCTTCTTTCGATTGGTGTCATGATCAACCCTCTCAGTTAACATGCGGAGCAACTACCTACAAAAACCCCTTTTCCCATGTTAATTCCCTATGTTCGTTTTGGGAATATTCACTCGGTATATAAATATTAAAGGTTCGGTAGTAAATTAGGTATATCCGAAAGTATACAATATTCTTACCCTTTGTTTAAGCAATCTCCCATACATTTTTGGCATGCAGGGGAACATGGCAATCCGTGTCGCCGGCAGCTGCACCGAAGGGTCTCCGCGCAGCCACACCTGTTCAGAGCACGGACTGCCTTCCATACTTGTGGCAACTTGGACTACAGAACCTTCCTGCCTTTGGCTTCAAGAGTCCATCCCCATCCTTCTGGACTTGTAGAGCTTCTCATCACCTGGTTTGCACATCCCCAGATATGGCCAGCGACATACGCCGCCCTCCTTATGTGCTCCTCCAACTCGTGCTGCGGCGACACGGATTACCATGTTCCTCTGCATGCCAAAAATGTATGGGAGACTATTGTATACTTTCGATATAATTTACTACCGAACCTTTAATATTTATATGTAAAACTCCTTTTCAGTGGTGATAACGCAATCTCAGAGGAGGTCAGCG